GCATTACAATTAAAAAAAAAAAAAAAAAAAAAAACGAATTAAACACGATAAAATATAATTTTTTTGTTGAGAATGATTATTTTCCGACTCCCTCAACGTCATTTATTATAGTTTTCGTTATCATAATTTATTTTTCAATTAATGTTATTTCAAAACTACTTCATCAATTTCATCGGCAACTAAGAAAATTCACAATCATTCAGGTAATTTCAAGCTTCAAAACGCAAACCTCGCTTTTTCGTATCTCTTCAATAGAATATTCAATAGTTATTTTAACGCGCTTTTCTTTCCAACTTTATACTTGAGAAAAATAAAAAGGTATGTATCTCATCACTCTTCGAATTTCTTGGAAAGAAAGCATCACCACTATTATTTTGTTGAAAATAGAAAAAAAATTATAAAAATACGAGTAAAAACATTCTTATGGAAATTATTGTCTAATACAAGTTTTTTAAAACAAATTTTCTAAGATGGTACTTTCTTCCCAACAAATTTGGAATACTGAATAAAATATTTATCAGTTAAATATTGTAAAAGTTTAAATCTTTTACGATAAAACAGTAATTAAAGTTGAAATCGTCAAATGATAAAATGTAATTAAAATAATTGCTCCATTTGGCTAATAAAACAGGAGATTATATAAGATATGCGGGTAGCAGAAAGTATAAATTTTATTTATATCGTTTCTGGTTAAATTAAATAATGAATCTAACATTTAGACTCAGCTTGATAGGTCTTTTCAAGCATATGCAATTAGCAATCTTAAAAGTGACTAAACATACTCTACCTAGTGAGAGATGATATTCTTCTCGTTACAAGGCAGTTTATGCTTGTATAAGTTAACGAAAGATAGAGGGTATCGAAGTTCGGCAATGTTGCAAAATAAAGGTGTTGTGTCTAGTCGTTTGAATATTATTGTACAAATTTAAAATAACCGAAAATTTTATAATACAAAACTTGTAGAACAAAAGAATTTTCAACTGACTAGACCATAGCAGTGCAGGGCATTTCTTTGGCGAGTGCAAAATGTAGTTGAAAATAAGTAGAATCGATTGAAGAGAAAACTGTAACTGCTATTTATTGTTTGCTAAGGCCGGCTGAAAAGATTGAACAGCTTTCGTTGNTTTTTTTTTTTTTTTTTTTTTTTTTTTTTTTTTTTTTTTTTTTTTTTTTTTTTCTCAACCAAACTTGTTTATTTTCCTTGCATCTAGCAACTCCGACCTCTTTTAGGATATATATATACACACATGGTGGTGTGCACACCCGTGTAACATGGGTTTTATTATTTCATCGGGTCGCAAAAGCTTGTACTCAAATATGCGCACGTCCGACCGTACAGGCTTGTTTCTACTGAAAATTTGATACCACGATGCGTTTTACCGTTTGTTCACCCATAACGTGTTTATGCTAAACGCGGGTGCCACATAAGTACACCTGATACTTGTGCATATGTGTACCATAATTGAAAGTTATACATACGGAAGCCTGATAACGACACCCGCATGAAAAGTTGTGGGTTGACCGTCGCATTAGCAGAGCGCATATGGCTATCTGCTATAATCCTGTATATAGGTAAGGGTATATAACTTTTATCAAAAGTTGACGGACACATTAGTCCGATGCCATGATGGAAAATGAAGTGATTTCCAAGTTGGTGGTTGCGAGATACGACGAGCAGAGGGTGCGAGAAGAAGTAGGGTATTAGGTGTGGAAATGGAAACGAGTATATGTATATACGTGGATGTGCCTCTTTACATCTCGGCCAAGCCCCGGAACGAGGTCTAGTCGATTGGACGTGCTTAATTATACATAAGATGATCCACGCGAGCAACAAAACAAAGGCCAACTCGGATGTAAACGAAGTATCCCTCGAGTGACCCAACATGTAATATATTATATACGTGGGCCCCCGACAGTGCACGCCATCGTATTCACGCGTGTACAATATAATACACATACATTAATATAGATGTCGAGGCAAACTCACGTGTAGGAGTCGCTGGGGGCCTTGAAGTGCTGGGGCAGCCTGTCGAAGTAAAAGCGGAACTGCTCGAACTCGGTGTCGGCCATCCTGTTCGCCCGTTCGTTCGTCCGAGGCGAGGAGGAGGAGGCTCCCCTGCCAGGGAACGGAGGCCGAAGCTCCCCCCAGCAGCTGTCCCCGGAGCCGTTCGAGAAACAGTTGTGGCTCTGTCAATTTACAGCTTCGGTGTTTTTCTCCTGCCTTGTCTTCTCCTGCACCGCGTAGACGACGGCGATCGTCCCGATCAGCTTATTGATTGCTACGGAGGGGGTTGCTGCCGCCACCGCTGCTATCGGTCGTGGGGAGCGACTGCGCATGTCCCCCCCTCCCCCCGACTCTGTAGGGAGAAACCTGTATACATATACATAGAGTGCACGAGAAGGGGTGTGTGGGTGGAGGCAACTTTTATGCCACTGCAGTGGCTTTCCTGTATATATATTACGAGCTCGGGCGAAACCCGTGAGAGGGTGTACCATGTACGTTTTTTTTTTTTTTTTTTTTTTTTTTTCTTCTTTCTCGAAATACTATTCGAGCATATAGACGTACGTATTTGTTAAAGCTACAAAATCCAACCGAACTGTTGATCATGTATATATATATATGTATTTTTTTTTATTATACATTTATGATTCCAAATACATAGTCATTTTCATGTATTTATAAGTCGCAGTTGTCTGGCCGTGCGCTGGCCACTAAAGCTAACGTATTTACAAGTAATTCCTCGTCCAGGGATGTCATACTCTCACTCGATGTATATGTCCTCTATGGGGAAAGCCGTCTCGATGAACTTTGTGTAAAATCGGTGAAAAGCTCGTCTGAAAATCGAGGGTCACAAGCGTCAATGTAGATTCAGTTAGCGAACCAAATGGAAGATGCGTAACGATATGATGATCGTCGCGATTAAAAAACTCACCCGACAGCTTCGGCAACAGGTCTGGTCGATTCTTGGCCGATGAAAACGTGACAGGCGAACCTCTGGAGTGTGGGGTGCTTTGTGATGAAGCCGAGGTAACGATGATCCCGGGGGTGGAAGGCGCAGAACGATACGTTCTTCAGTGAGTAAAAGTAGTCGTGACACGGGCCAGTGCTCTTCTGCGCATTTTAATACATGTGCTTATGTAAAAATAATAATACGGGCACGTGTTGCGCTTGTCGCAGGGTCAAGGACCCACAACTTAAAAGTGCAGTTATACGCAATACAAGAAGTGCTCAAATACAAACTTATGTATTAAGACGCTTGTCTCGATAAATTAACGTGGATCCCTCGACGTACGACTTGTTTTTTTTTATCATTACTCTGTTTTTTTTTTTATCCGTAGAACATTAAAAATTTATTTTCTAGATGCTTTAAAATTGAAAAAAAAAAAGAAGTTTGCAATTCACAACAGGCTACTGTGTTCTCGAGTTATCAAGCACTGTTATTCAAGTACTTGAGTACAAGTGGGTATATTATTAACACCGTTCGCTATACATCATTGATTCTTGTTGTACATAAATTAATACGTTAGAAGAAGGCACTACACAATTACGAAAATAATTTGTAACTTTGTCCATCGAATGAAGCAAAGATTATCTATACTTTCAAATATTAGTCTCTTGTTTAATTTGACACGAGTCTTGATTGAAAGTACATTTTTATTTATTAAAAAGATTGACAATGTTTTTTTTTTTTTTTAATTAAAATTCATTTATTTTTTCCAGCAAAAGAAACAAAGTTTGAGGGTCCGGACACTGTAACATCTATACTGTATATCCTTGAATTTTTCGATCACATTGCAACGATTAGTCTCCGAGGACTAACGCCATGGTTGCGTCCCTTTTTTTACCGAGAGAACCACCTCCACACAGATACGGTAACGGAAAAAACTGACAAGTGGCAAAATAATACCTGGGTTTTGCTCCTGTCGAGCATCCTGAGACCCTGATCGGAGACCTCGAGGATGCAGCTCTGCGAGGATGGCGGCTCTTGCGTCGAGTTGCCGACTATCCGGCGCACCGCCTGGCAAACGACACTCGTGCCCTTGTGAGCCAGGGTCTCGACGGAGCCGAGGTAGCCCAGGAGGTAGCGCTCCTTCTTCACCTTCGGCGTCGCGGGGTCAAAGTCGCTGTAGTCCATGTCGACGGCATACGCCGACGGAAAGATGCCCTGTCGGCCCGTCCGCAAGTTCACTCCTGCGGTCCACGACCAACAAATTCAATTTTGTGTTGTTACTAGTATACGCACCATTTAAAATATATATTTCTGTGGGGAAGAGCACTGACCCTCGCACCAGAGGTCGTCGGCCTCCTTTTGCACGTAAATCGGGTCGCCGATCTCGAGGTCGATTTCATCGTGGTGCCGGCGGATGAACCGGTACAGGCTACGATGCGTTGCCTCGAGTAGCTCGAAGGGTACTCCCGATGCCGCGGCTGCCGCCTCGAGCTCCTCCGCCAGCGACGGCGACGACTGCGTGGCTGCGTTTTAAAGTTGTTGCGTATAATTATTCAGCACGAAGCAACTTTCATTGAATCGCTCGTGGAGAAATAATGGGGGTTCAAATGGTTCACGATACGCGTGAATCCAGAGAGATTTTGGAACTTGGCGGATATAATAATTTAGCTAATAATGTTCAGTTTTTAATTTTCTAAAAAAGTTAGGTTTAAATTTAAGTTGTCTTCTGTAGATGAGGCTCGCTCGTGTAGGTGTGCCAAAGAGGGCGTAAACATTCTTTTTCCAAACAACGTTTGTGAATACTCGTAGACAATCGATTTAAATTATCATAATCATTTAAATTATGAAAAACAAGTATTGAAATCAACAAAGTTTAGTCCAGTGAGTTAACAATTGCAAAATTCGTTTACCTACGCATCGCAAAGTATTGAAAAAAATAGTACTTTATAGTTTTTATAATTGAAATTAAACTATCAAAAATTTATATAGTTAATTCTTGCATAGAACAACAATGGGTATTAAATTATTTTTAAACAGTAGCACAAAAAAACGACTACGAAAATTAAAATTGCTGAGTCAAAAAGTTCTTAATCGATGGATAACACCTAACACCTCGAACTTGATCATTTATTCGTACAAATTGTTTTTTCAATGATAAATTACGTCGTTTCTTAAATACCCCATGTGCTGACTAAAAAA